GAGCCCGAAATTTTCAAATGTTCACGAAATCCTAGAGGGTTTAAATATATATATATATATGAAAGAGGGGTTTAGGCTTTTATCTGTTTAGGGCTTTAGGGTTTGAGGTTTTGGGTTAGAGTTTTACTAGGACGGTTGAAGTAGAAGCTCCGAAGAGAGTTGATATTTACACAGGATCCGTGCTTGGGGGCAGCAGTACCTCGGTTGGATCGGTGCTTGGGGCAAGCATTCCAGTACCTGTGGGAAGCACGTTGGCCGTTCCTGAATCCCGAGTGGCAGGAAGTAGTTTGGCGATGTGTCCCGCTGGTTTCCTGGTGATGCGCTGGGGTCTGATGGTATACGTATCTCCTGTTGGTCTCCTACGTCCTGGTGGTCGCGGCGGTCTATCATTGTTTCGTGATCTGCGCTGGCATTGTAAGAGGTGACATGGTTGGTACATGGTTGGTACACGCATCCATTAGCATTCTACTTGAACTCAGAATATTTGCATGTTTAAACGGTTCTATGCTCGTTTTGTAGTGATCTGATAGCGTGTTAGGGTGTTGGATGTTAAACGGGTTAAAAAGGGTCCTATGTATGGGCTTCGTGCGTTTCATTTTGAGAGGTTCCTCATATAGAAGATCCGACAAATTTTAAGGTCATGTTCGCAAAGCCTGAAGTTACAATATTGACTTGTGATGATACATCTGCAACGGCTGGCTTTACAATTGCGGGAAAAGGGGCTCATAAAGCAAAGGTTTACAATCCGAGTGTTGGTTGTGTGGTTCGAGGGTTTCAGTTTAGAGTTTGAAGTTTCACAGCGGTTCCAGGGTTGCGTCTTTTGGTGGGATTCAGGGTTCAGTGATTGAAGCGTGTCAACAAGTCGGGGATATGAGTTTGGGGAGCTTGGTGAGAAGCTGCTTATGTCATGATAAGTTTTGTTGGTGCCCTGAACCCTAAACCCAAGCAAATCCTGAGCATCCGTGTTCGCTCACCTATCCAATGAAGAGAGCCTCTTGTGGCAGCCCAGGAAGTTCAGCAAGACAAGCTGGCAGAGGCTTGGGACGGTGGGCTGATGCTCTTCAGGCTTTGCTTGAAAAGTAGGTAGTATTATTAGAGGTACCCCTTAAAGGGTACCCCTTCTGAACCCTACTTTTGGCTCTTTTAAAAGGGACCTTATTGAGAGGGTCTATATCCCCAAGGGTCCCCCTAATCCTAGCTCCCAGGTGTGAGGCTGAGGAAATGTTGGTCTTGGGGTGGAGGGTGCCGGATCTACATCATCTAGCTAGCTGGCTGGGTGGCTAGCTAGGACGCTAGCTAGACCTCAACCCCTAAGCCCAACTGCACCTTGCACTAGGTTCTCCAGTGGTACCCGTTTGCTCTTTTTTGAGTCTCTATGAATGAAACCGAATACAAGGAGAAAGGACACCCTTGTAATTAAGGGGCTACTGAGGAACCGAGAGCACCATCACATCCTAAAAGCCTGAAGGCCTCCCTCTCACATCCTTCAATCCTTCAGCCCTTACGGTGGGGGAGCGAATACTTGATTCTGTTTCCTCTGTGCCACAGGAACCTTCGTTCGAATGTAGAGGAAGGAGTTAAGGATGGCAAGGCTATGATTCTGTTTTGGCATTGACTAGCGTGAGTATTCCAGTCCCAATCTGAATCGAAGTGATCACATCAAGCTTGCCGCTGACACCACGAGTTTGCGCTTGGGTTGAGAGAAGCGCACAGCATGACGCGACGGTACTCAGAGCGGCGCCGCTGATGTGTTCTTGCCAAGCAAGCAGGAGCCAGAGCCACGGCACGATCAGTCTAAAGTTTCAAGTTGTGCCATGCATGTACACCGCGTGGAATGTGTTACGTGTTAAACGTTGGCGTTTGAATGCTATTTATGCGTCAGTGTGTTGCTTTGTTTACTTGTGTGCATAGTGGCGTCGCTTCCCTATTGTATATTTTTTGGCAAGTATGGAATATTGATTAACTATCAGCCGAAAACCTGACTCCAACTGTTAAGGCACCGACTTTGTTTTATACCTTTGAAACCCTGAACTCTAAACCCGCCAGCCCTATATCTTTTCAACCTATGCCAGGATGCGAGGCACACGTCCTCGCTGCTGCGAGACCTCCGGCGAGAGCACCGCGAGCTGTTGAAGGCCTTTCGCGCGGTTCCGGCTCAATGCTGGGCCCCAAACCCCAAACCCCAACGGAGAATTAATTAAGCCTGAAAAGGTTGAATATCGGGGCCTTGACAATTACAGTAGGTTTTGGGGATATTGTGCCGCAGTTATTAGTACGTTTTTTTAGGAAGCCTAAGGAAAACCCCTGAACCGTCAGCAGCTCACCCATGACTCTCCGAAACCGCAAGCCCCAGACCCAGACAGCTCAAGAAGCATACGCTAAACTCTCCTGGCGATACTATTGTCTTGTTCAAACTGAAAGTGTAAGCCTGAAAAACCCCTAAACCCTAAACCCGAAACCCTGAATTGCCTTCTACACTTGGAAACTAGATGGGAGCTTCAGAAAATAAGGGACCCTGATATAGAACCCTAAGTAGTAGGATCCTTATTATAAGGACCCCAAATAAGGTACCCTAGTTTTCTGAAATTCCCAGATCGCTTCACAGGACTTCACACAGCTGCGAGAAGAGTTCTGCGCCGTCAGGGACTGTTTGACTGCAGCCCTGGCCTCGGCGACGTGTTTGGGGCTTGGGCTTTAAGGGTCTTAAGGATGGTTTAGGGTTTAGGGGCTTAGCTGAAGTGTTCTAAAACGGCTTTAAAGGCCGTAAGAGCGGTTTTGGGTTTAGGGTTTAGGCTTAGGGTTTAGTTGAAGTGTTCTAAAACGGTCTGGGGTTGTATTATTTATGTTTAAGGCTGACGTGGTGACAGGGCCTGCGCAACTAGCCTAGGGTCTTGGGATAGCTTCTAGTACAAGTATATACGGACTATCCAGTCCATCATTTCAGTTATACAGGTAAACAAAGCGTTTGAGTGGAGCCTAAACCCTAAATCCTAAACCCTAAATCCCAAACGCTAAACCCTAAACCCTAAACAAGCGTTTGAGGTAGCAGAGTCTCTCTTTGGATGGTCGGCTTAAACTCCGCGTGGCAGTAGCCAGCAATACAAGACCGCAGTGCAGTTCCGAGAAAAGGTGCGGTCCTTAGTTTAGGATTTAGGGTTTAGGATTTAGGGTTTAGAGTTTAGGATAGTTTAGGGTTTAGGATTTGGGGTTTAGGGTTCAGGATTATTTAGGGTTTAGGGTTTAGGATCTAGGGTTTAGGGTTAGGATTTAGGGCTTAGGGCTTAGAATTTAGGGTTTTAGGGTTTAGGATTTAGGGTTTGAAAAGCCCTCAATGAAAGGAGGATCCCTTCGGTTCCAAAAACGCTCATTCCCTGCAGAGGCCCTGACCCTTGTAGTAACCCTTGCATAACCTCCTTGGAACGAACCCTTAAAGCTTAAAGAAACCGTTCCCCTGTCCTCACCTCAGCATTTCAATAGATCTTCTGGGAGTTCATTCTAGTTCCGCGTCGAAACATGAGCTCATGGGCTGCTACCCTCATCTTAGGATGTAGGTTTGGGGACTTAGGGCTTCAGGTTTAGGGTTTAGGGTTTTCAGGTTTAGGGATCTATATGAGGTTTAGTTAGGGATTTTTGGGCTTAGGCGAGTGTACGTCGAGCTTGGAGTAAGTGTTTGGGCTTTGGTCTAGGCCAACATGTACTGTCCATGCTGAAGCCAGCGAACCCAATGCACCTCAATTAAGGAGTATACCTTTAACATAGAGGCCTTAATATTATCCCCTAAACCCTAAACCCTAAACCCTAATTTATGGTATATTCCTTAATTGCGGGGTGTTGGGTTCTGGCCGTAATCCGTTTCCAGGCCAATGTTGTGACCAAGCCGGCAGTGAACCGAAACCTCAGCAGGCAAAGGGCCAGGGGTTTCGGCAGTTTGGGGTTAGTGTTTGGGGGCTCAGTGTTTTGAGTTAGGGGGCTGGTTGGTGTATTGCAGGGTTGCGATTTAGGGCTTCCGGCGCAGAGCGTAGGTTCTGGCATCATGGGGTTAGCCGAGGTCTCAAGAAAATTAAAGCTCTGACGTTCTAGGCTGTCTTATCCGGTGTGGAGGGAGAGGGGTTCACTAAACCCTAAACCCTAAACCCTCAGGGGTCCACATGAGGGGTTTGAGCAACTTGAGCGCGCGCAGGGATTTCGAGGGCCCAGGTAGGTTTCTGAGGCTCCGAGCGTTCAGGGTTTTGGGGAGCTTATAGGGTCTACCTGGGTGGTTGTCAAAATTATGGTCCCTTCTTGGGTATTATTTAGGGTACCCCAAAAGGAACCATAATTTTGACAACTACCCACCTTAATCCACCAAAACCTATTTTTTGAAAGTCCTTACTATAAACCCAGAAGGTGGAATGTATGGGGGGGTCCTATACAAAAGTAGGTTTGGGTTGGTTGAGGTTGGGTTGAGGATCTGGGGTATAGGGTCTATAGCTAGGTTCCCGAGTAGTACCTTTTGTCCCTTTCTATTTTGGGGTCTCCTTATGAAAGCCGAATATTAGGAAAAAGGGTGCCCGTATTATGGGAACCTAGATCGAGTTCAGGGTTTATGTAGGGGTTTGCGCACTTTGCTGCAGACGTTTTTGTGCAATTCGCTAGACCTGAACGATACAGCTTTTGGACTTGCCTGCCGTATGGTGCGCGAGTACCACAGCTGTGGTGTTGCGCGTGGGGTTTTGTGTCGTTCGGATCGTTTCTTGTCGCTTGCCAGGCGGAGAGCCCCTATGGTGCTCAAGAAAGTTCTCGAGGTGCTTTGTCGTGGATTCAGAGGCTTTGGGTTTCGGACTAGGCCTTAAACCTAACCCCTGTTTTCGGGTCTCGAGGTCCATAGGTACGCTGGAGCTGGATTGTAGCACAAGCTGTTCCTGGGCACGCAGAGGGAGGGAGGGAAGGGAGGGAGGGAGGGAGGGAGGGGGAGAGAGAGAGAGAGAGCTGAAGTAGGTGTGCCTGCATGTACGTGGGTAATGAAGTGTCTCGTTATTCAAGTGCTTATTCAGGTTGCGGTTATATGTATGTGTTTGCATATAACTGCATGGGTGGGAGAGAGGTAGATGCACAGCCATAAATGTTCGCGGACGCACCGTTTACTTCCCACATATAAGATGGCCATGTCGGCAGATGCAGGTTTATGCAGCGTCCCAGGGTCGTGCAGACATATTTGCACGCACCCGAACATGTATACTATCATTGCACGTCGCTTCTCTGGATCGCAGGCACTATGTTGCTTTTCTGCCGTAGAGGCTGAAGAAACAAAGACCGGAGAGGGAGAAACAGAGAGAGAGAGGAAGTAATTAGAGGGACAGAGGGAGGGAAGGGTTCAGAGTTCAAGCTGTTCAAGGTCTCTAGAGCTCGGATGTCCGCTCAACAAACTCCACGTCCAGTGACTTTCCGAAAACAATCTGGAGTTTCAGAGTAAAGATTCCACAGCTACGAGCTGCTGATTTTGGCCACTGGGGTTAGAGGTATTGACAGTGAGTTGCGTGCATGCAACAACGATTGAAAGGTTCATAATTCGGGCTTCCATGCCCTGTAAGGTTGCGCCGAGGCCACAGCAAATTCGAAACAGCGCTCGGAACAGAAAATCCGAATGTATGCATCGTACTCACATCCCTGTTGTATCTTCTGTGGCTTGGTATATACTACTCGGGCTCTTACCCTTAGTGTCGTAACGGAAACACACACGCACACACATGAACTAGCGAACGGACATATGAACAAACTGACTAACTCACTAACGAAACATATCTAGGTTAAGTTAAGCTAGGTCAAGTTAACAGCTTAACCGAACTTAACTTAGCTTCGCTGCACTTAACTTAAGCTAACTTAACTTGACTAACGATCAAATCGACTAACTATCTAGCTATCTAGCTACGTAACTATCTAACTAGCTGGTAACTAGCTCACCTACGTACCAGCTAACTACTTGACTATCTGACTGCCTAACTACCCAACTCATAGCTACCTACCTACCCCCACCGACCCACCTACCTACCTACCTACCTACCTACCTACCTACCTAATTGACTAACTATGTAACTAACTAGCTACCCGGCCAACCAAACAAACCCCATCTCCTCAAAACCCTAGAGCCGTTTCCCCTTGAAGTTCAAAAGCCCCCTAACCCTGAGCCCCTCCAAACAGCAAGACTATGCATGTATGTATGTATGTATGTATGTATGTATGTATGTATGTCTGCATGCATGTATGCATGTATGTAGGTATATACACACATAAACTGAACATCCCCGTTCTCAAAAAGTCACGAACTAGGAGCCGGGTCTTTCCCTGACCTTCGGATCTATCGCAGGGGCCTGGAGCTTATTGGGTAGTTCTCTAAATTAGGGTCCCTTTTGGGGTGCCGTACTATAATGGGGACCTATAAAGGGACCTAGTTTAGAGAACTACCCTATTGGAGTTGTGGATGTTTGGGGTTTGGGGGCTCTTGGTGGTTTTGCGTGGTGGAGTCAGAGTATTTATATAGGGTTCTAAGGTTGAAGGGCTTAGGATGCTTTCAATTTCGGGGTTGAAGGCATAGACGTTTGGAGGTTCAGGGTAGGGGTTTGTTTATTCTGGCCTTGGGAGTTGGGGTGTTGTTGCTATTTCGGGTTTGCCAAGGTTTGGGGGTGTACGGGCTCTACCCGGGCCTGGGGCAGCATGAAGCCCTAGGCCGGCAATCATATTCTTCTTATTCCTCATCCTTTTCATTATCTTCTGGGTAGGCGGGGGGGGCGGGATATTTTCACTGTCCCTTAGGATGAGCTGGGTCTCCGAGAGCCTTCTTTACGAATATGGCTGGCAGAGCCAACCTAGTCTTAGAGGCCGAGCAATTAGGTAGCGTGTGATTGTAGACCTCTGATTCTTTAACGGCTTCAGTACTGGGATTCCTTGCGGGGTTGTTGAGCCGACGTCTATATGAGCCTTCATTGATTCATAGCTTTGAGAGCTTTGCGCCGAAGGACTCAGCGGAGGGCGAGCAACAGATTCGCTTGCCATACTATATCTTGCCATGGCATGTTTCTTCAAACTTGGAAACCCCCTGAACGCTAAACCCTACCTTAAGAACCCAAAACCTACTTTTTTGTAGGGTCCCTCTCAATCCCATATATAATAAGAACCTACAAAAAAGTGGGTTTTGGGTTCTTAAGGTACACCCTAAACCCGAACCTGGTGCAAGACTCAGCCTCAGACTGCAGACGTTGATGTCGCGCGTACAGTCATCCGGAATTCGTGTAACGGTTCCTATAAGCGGAACCAGGACGTTCTGGCTGTCGTGTTTTTTCCAACATGCGGAATTTTCTCCCTCAGCCCTATAGCCTTCTCACAGATGTAGTGTTGAGAATCTTGTGAAATGCAGTTGGGAGAGGGGTGGTAGAGTTTGGAGTCGGCATGAGCTCCACTGAAGAATCCTGAGCCCTAAGCCCTGAACAGAGCAAGGAAAATGTGAAGTCTGCCCCCTACTAGGGCCCGAAACCCCTAATCCGAAGTCTGTTGAACCGAAAAGTAGGAGCCGGAAAATTGGAACATGATTGCCCGCATACCCTTAAGGTAAAGTATAAGGGATTCCAGCACAAATCCTCCTAAACCCATGTTCCGACTTGCTGTAATCTAAACCCTTAGCTGATTTGAAAGCCTCAAGGATAATAAAGGGATCCGAGTCAGAACATGTAGCCCAACTCAAGAATTAGAGGCAGAGAGGGTTCATAAGCCAGGCGCCGAGATTCGCCTTATTTGGATTTAATCCTTAAGCCCCAAGCCCCAGGACCATCTAGGACCTATATCAATCCTACAACTCTAAGCCTAAACCCTGGCACTTGCAGACCCTTTAAGCGCACTCCTGCCCAAATAATATAGCCCTATAAACCTCAAACTCGTAGGTGGTGGGATGTCTCCGCGTCCGGGAGACTTCGCGGGGAATCCCAGTGCTGCTGTCCCAACACCCTTACATATATCCTCGCCAGATAGATAGATAGATGCGTGTGGTTGCTAAAGAACTTTGTGACTGTGTGGTTTCCATGAAGCACTCAGCCCATCTCGAAGACACATGCGCCTAAAACGTGTACCCGCAGTCCGAAACCCAAAGCGACAATTGAAAATCTCCACACCCTATGCACTGCAGAATGGCTTTATAGACAACCTTCCTCAAACCCGACACCCCCATATCCAACCTCTCGATGTTTCTAGTTCTTGCTTGCGTTGTTTATCCTACCGAGCTCCGTACCTGCACGGCCCCACACCGAGCCTTACAGGCCGTGTAAGGTGGGTTTAAGCGTTTACCTTAAGAACCCAAAACCCACTTTTTTGTAGGGTCCCTATAAATCCCATGTTTAGGGTTTATAATAAGAACCTACAAAAAAGTGGGTTTAGGCGTTTACGGCTTTGCTGAACCCCCATGCTGCGCTGAGTATTCGTATTCGCTTCCGGTGGTTTGGTTCAGGTGTCAGGACTGAACCCCCATGCTGCGCTGAGTTTTCGTAGTTGCTTACGGTGGTCTTGTTTCGTGCTATATTGAAGTCCGGGTTTGAGGTGTCGTAGTTTAATCGTTGTGTTGTGGGCGTGCGTGTGGAATCTGTAATTTTGTGTGTCGTGTCATGGTGCGTCTTTATCAAGGGTCTGGTGTTCTTCCTAGGAGTATGGCTACGAATCGAAAGCCGACTTAGCAATCGGTCACTGCATGCAAGACAAGCCACATCTGCGAGCTGCATATGCAGCCAAAGCTTGAAACCCTAAACTCTTGAACCCACATCCTAACCATGTTTAAACAACCAAGGCCTCTTGAGTCGTTTCTTGGTGCACGCATCCCAACCAGCATTCCACAAAGATGTTGACTCACACACTGAAAAGCAGGCGACAGAATAGGCGCTATAGACTTTAGGGACAGCATCTTGCCATCATCCTCGTCAAGGAAGTAGTAGGAGCACATCAAAACACATGACGCGAAACCTTCCACGTTTTGGGCACTCTATATTCAATGGCTTGCGTGGAAAAGCTCTACAGACCCAATCCTCCACCCGTAAAACACACCATAGTTCTCCAGAAGATTTCGGATTCCCTAGGTGTAAAGGCAACCGCAAGTGGGGGAGTGTCGGTTCAGGATCTCGAGCTTAGTTGAGGGTTTATACGGCTCAAGGGTTTAAGGTTTAGGGTTTAGGTTGGGATCTAGGACTGAGCTGGAATTCAAGGAAGGTTTGCATGATACTTGGCTTTGCCTGCAAGCCTTATTTAGACCCTCCAGTAAACTCCTGGGCCGTTTATGTATTCCCTAAGCCTTAGACCCTAAACCAAGCTTTCCAGGAAGGGACTCTGTGGCGGAATCAGCACCTGCCTGCCGCTGCTGCGGAAGCGGCAGCCCTTACTGGCTTTCCTGGTGTTGTTTTTTGTTGAGAGATGGTGGAGGGAAACGGGGAGACTTAAAGCACTAGATTACTGAAGGGCCATGGGAATTCGTAAATTATACTAGACGAATATATCTATAGGTTTACCCAGTTCAGGGTATTTATGAGCCTGCTATAGTGTACCTACTAACCGAAACCAGTGTTCACTATCGCGAGGTCTTTACGCAGGTCATGCACGCACGAAACTCCTTCGAAGATAATTCCAAGTTCACTACGTGCGCAGGTTACTGCTGAGTGCTGCGTGGCATGTTTTCTGCCTCGGGATGTACCATGAATAAACGCCTTTACCGCAATATTGCCCCCCCTCCCGAAACCCCAAACTACTGAACCACAACAGTTCTCCATATTACGCAGATCCTCTCAAACATTCCGGGACCCCCTATCCCGCAACACCCAAACCCCTAAACCCTAAGCCCTAAACCCTAAGCCCTAAACCCCTAAACCCTAAGCCCTAAACCCTAAGCCCTAAACCCCTAAACCTTAAGCCCAAGGCCAAAGCTTCGGCACCCAGGTTTTTGCGAAAGAGTCCACTGTTTACGGCGTTTACGGTTTAGGTTTTATGGGTTTTAGGGCTTTAGGGGTATAGAGGCTTAGGGGTTTAGGGTTTAGGTTTAATGGGTTGGTGAAAGGCTTTAGGGTATGTAGGGTTTAGGGTGTAGGCTTTAGGGTTCATGCCATAGCCTTTCGGCTCCTCAGACCTCTCGAGCATGTAGATACTACCTACTTTCGGGTCTAAAGCCTATAAACGCTACCTATTTCGGGCCCTTTTGTAGCTCCGCGGGAATTGAAAGTTTGAATGTGACAGCACATGACTTGCGCGGCTCAGAGATGTTAGGGGGGCTCTCCGCAAGCTGTGACCAAAACCGCAGGCCCAAAATCATACCTGGGAGTTTCCGAAAATTAGGGTACCTTATTTTGGGGGTCCTTTTCATAAGGATCCTACTATTTATTGTACTATATTGGGGTCCCCTATTTTCGGAAACCCCCACCTCTAGCGCTCGCCAGCTGCTCAGAGCATCCCATACCCCTTAATTAAGGAATACCTTAAGAACCCAAAACCCACTTTTTTTGTAGGTTCCCTATAAATCCCATATGAAGGTTTATACTAAGAACCTACAAAAAAGTGGGTTTTGGGTTCTTAAGGTAGACCTTACATCATAATATGAAGGCCCATATAGTTTCAGCTATATTCCTGAATTAAGGGGCCTTGGGTTCTCTGGGTGTAGCTCCCCACAAGTTCCGACCTAGAGCCCGGATCCAGGGCTTCAGCTTAACCGTCTTCTTCAAACCCAGGGTTTGCGGATTCATTTTGTTGGGGGATTTTGAGGGTTTCTTTTGAGCTATACGGGTTGTTGTCAAAATTAGGGTCCCTTTTGGGGTACCCTAAATTATAGGTGCCGTATTATAATAAGGACCCAAAAAGGGACCATAATTTTGACAACCACCCATATATAATCTGAACTTCCAATTTTAGGGTTTGGGGACTTGGGACTTGCTTTGTTTGGCGGGGACTTGGGGGTTTCTGCTGCCAGGATGCCTCCGGAAATCTACGTGCTCGGCGGTTGGAACCTCAACGGGCTCTTCCATGTTTAGGGGTTTAGGGTTTAGGGTTTAGGATTTAGGGTTTAGGGTTTAGGGTTTAGGGTTTTAGGATTTACCTTAAGAACCCAAAGCCCACTTTTTTGTAGGGTCCCTATAAATCCCATATTTAGGGTTTATAGTAAGAGCTTACAAAAAAGTGGGTTTTGGGTTCTTAAGGTAGGGGTTTTAGAAGGTCCTGGGGTCCGCATCAGATTTTGTGGGGGGATCAGGAGACTCGTTGAGCGATAAGCCCCGTACCGGACGAGAGTAGTAGCATGCTGGAAGTAAAGAAGCCTCCCCACTGGAAAGCCATGAAGCCATCACCCTCAAAACCCACCGTGGTGGGCAAGCAGAGCAATCGCCCAGCAGTCTGGGGGAATGCCTCTGAGAGCTAGATCCGCAAGGCCCGTTCATGTTTCGCCATAGACTGTCTGGTGCTTAGTAGGGAATGGGGGAATAGGTTATAGGGACTACTATAAGTGACCTTAAGGGACTATCATAGGGATCCATATCCCCATTCCCTACTAAGCACCAGACAGTAGATGTTTCAAGCTATGGCTTTCGACCTAAGAAGCTCCTTTGAATGTGCCCTAAACCCTAAACCCTAAATCCTAAACCCTAAATCCTAAACCCTAAGTTTAGGCTTTAGGGTTTCACTCAAGGGTCCCACAACCCTTAAGCCCCTAAAGCCCCTATAGCCCGAGCTTCGAAACGCCAAGAACTGAACCCTACTGTCTGGTGCTTAGTAGGGAATGGGGGAATGGATCCCTATGATAGTCCCTTAAGGTCACTTATAGTAGTCCCTATAACCCATTCCCCCATTCCCCACTAAGCACCAGACAGCCTATTCCCGAATCTGCTCCCGATCTGATGCACCGGAGGTGGAGATGAGGAGGGTTTAGAGTTTCTGAGTTCCCCAATATCCAACTTTTAAGCTTTTGGGGTTCTTATAGTTTAGTAGTAATCTGAAAGTTATTCTTTTTTTCCCTGGCCTGTTGGGGAAGTAAGGTTTAGGGGATGTTAGCCCACGTGACATGGGTCCTGATTCCTTGCAGAAGTTGCTTGATAGTTGGAGGGCAAGTGCTTAGAGGTTGATTTTGAATGAGGGTTCTATTCAGGAGCTCTGACTGTAATCGTGAATCGTGTCAAGCGTTTGCTCATTGATTTTGATTTAGTGTATTAGCTTCTACCTGGAGCTCTGAATCCGTGAACCTGAACATGGGTAGTTTTCAAAATTAGGGTCCCTTTTAGGGTCCTTCTTATAAGGGCGCCGTACTATATTGGGGACTTAAAAAGGGACCCTAATTTAGAGAACTACCCAAAATCCTAGACGGCAAACACCTGACAAGGTCTTGCAATGCCCCCTAAACCCTAAACCCCAAACAAAACCCTAAACCCTAAACCCTAAACCCTAAACCCCCTAAACCCTAAACCCCAAACAAAACCCTAAACCCTAAACCCCCTAAACCCCAAACCGCTCAGGTAAGAACGACTCCTCTCCTGCACTGGCCACAGCGGAATGCTTTAGCCCATTGCATGGAGAGGCATCCTGGTGGGCTTGGGAATTAACTTGGGTTCAGGTTAGGGTTTTAGGGTTTCGGGGTTTAGAGTTTAGGGTTTGGGGTTTAAGGTTCAGGTCTAACTAGTACGATTTGGTCCGGGGGTCCTGCAAGGCTTAGAAAGGAGCAGGACGTGACGGGCGGTCTTGAGTTGCCATCTGTTCGACAGCACTGTTGGTTCAGACTAATGACATCGGGTTTAGGGTTGAGGGGTATGCTCTTTAATGAAACCTAAATGAAACCTGTGCCCCCGGTTCACATGACCGTGAAGAGGCAAACGAGGCACCGCATGAGAAGCCTCAAGCTGGACCCTGAAGTCAAAGGCTCTGGAAGCCCTGAGTCTGAAAACCTAACATAGGGGCCTGCATAATTACCCATAGTACTTTGGGGTTCCTTATTGTAATTATAGTATAATGAGCCCCAAAACCCTCTTCTAATTATTAAGGCCTCTACATTAGAAAGGATTTCCCCGCCAACGCCCAAATCACAGCAATTCTCTTGTATAACATCAACATAGATTTACATCTTGGCTGCACCGTAGCACTATGTCCTAGCTGAGCCCTGCTGAGCCCTGTAACCTCACTTCTCCAACCTTCACCTACAGCCTTCACTTCTCCCCAAGAATTTCAACCTCCATCGCCAGTGGCGGAGCCTGCCACCCATGGCCGCTCGGCGCTATGGCTGCGCTGCCGCCACAGTGAACGGACTGCAGCGCGATAGCAAGAAGACATTGGGCAGCATGGGGTCCGTAAGGCGGCAGGGATCATTGATATTCCTCAGGTTTCCTGCCTTGACTGTTGTCATCAAATGCGCCCAGGAGCACGGCTCTAATGTTGTGAGCCCTCATCTTACCTACTGGTACTACGCTCACGATAAATGGTTGTGATCCCTATAGTTCGATGAACGATTGTACGTGAGGCTTCTAGCATCATAGGTCCGCAGCATGTGCGTACATTCGGCAGCAACAATTTCTGAAAAAATAAACGCATCTCAGAAAGTCCGAAAGTCTGCACGGAGAGATGCCGCGTCTGCGTCCCATGTTTCAGCGCCTTTGTGCCTGTGTGGCTCCTGCTGGAGGCACTTGATCCTCCCAAAATCCCTCAAGCCCTGCCGGAAGCCGAAGTAACCTATGCATTGTCTAAGGACGTTTATGTAAGGGCATCATACTAACGAGCCCCTACGTAGTAGGGTCTTTGGTGTTAAGGTATGGCCTCAAGCGATGTAGCCTTGAGCATCTCCGCATTTCCCGATTTAAAACCCAAAACTGTCCGACATTCTCTTGCCGATGTACTTCTGAGCTCGAAATCCTGAACCTCAAACCTGTATAAGCTCGATATACCCTAAATGCTACACCGGTGCCCGCAGCAACATGAGTCGGGAACTACCTCTACCCCAAGCCCGTACCCACCAGATAAGCAAGACTAGGACTTTGGGGGTTCTAGAAAGGTTTGTATTTGCTATAGGGGTGTCAGGCTTTCGAGTTTTGTTGTTTCGAATTCAGGGCCTAACGTAGGGTGTAGGTATTCAGGGATTCAGGGAATTCGGGGCCTTTAGGGGCAAGGGTTGATGGACTCTAGGGTTTTGGGTTAAGTGTCTAGGGGCTTAGGATTTAGGGTCAACAGGGTGGTTTCTCAACGCTGTCACCAGGGCCCCGTTCAGTGTTCGTACTCTTGCGTGATCCACCAAGTTGTTGCTCCGCTCAGGACTCTTTAGGAATACTGGTGGGTGTATGACTCAATGTTCGATATCCCACTGTGGCAAGGGTGAGGAAGAGGCAGGCTTGACTACGGGGACATGGAGACTAGACAAGGTCCTGTTCGTATACGAAAACCGGTTTGCGCTGGCCCTCAAGAAACCGATACTTTCAAGTGCAGAGTTCTTTCTGCGTATTCCCGCGTATCGCTTACACTTATTGCAGGAGGTTTTCTCCGCTGCTCATATGCCTAGGGTAGCCAGCACCTATGTTCTTCATTGTAGTTCCCGTTTTTGCTCGTCCATTTTGATCGTTGGAAACTGTAATACGAAGCAGGGTAGCCCAAAAAGGAACTGCGACGGAAGGGTTTAGGGTCTAGCCTAGCTTTTAGGGTTTAGGGGAACAGCCTTACTTACACCTTAAACTCAAAGCCTGAAAGCCTAAACTTCAAACCTAACCCCTAAGATCCACAAGCCCTAAACCCTAAGCTCTAAACTAAACCAGAAACCCTAAACCCGAAGCTAAGTCAAAAGCGCCTGAACTCTGAGACTCATGAATGACTTGGTTTTGTTGGGATGGCATATGGGAGTTTCCGAAAACTAGGGGTACCCTATTCTCGGGTCCTTATAATAAGGATCCTACTATTTAGGCTACTATATTAGGGTCCCCTATTTTCTGAAACCCCCATATCTGAGGCTCTACGTGGCCGGCTCCTGAGCTTCCGAGAGTTTCTTTAAGGGCTCTCTTGTATGGGCTCCTTTAAAGAGTCCCTTTCAGGTTTCGGGTTCGGGGTGTAGGGGAGCTATCGAGATTTCTAGGGTCCAAGTACTTTTCCAGTTGCTGCGACTTGTGACCGCGAACTGGATCCACGTTTGGTGATCAGCAAGTTTGCCGGTCAGTTGCAATGACACCTATGCAAACTGAGCAGTTTCTCTCACAACCATCTCAACAACTGTGGATGAACAGATACAATGGGGAGTCAGCGCCAAGACATCATCATTGCACATCGCATATATTCTCCTGAAGCAGAATTAGCAGTTCCAAATGGCTAGACCACTCATGAGCACAAGTTCTTTACCTATGCCAAGCTGTTTCGTGCAACTGCAATTGTATTGGATGTTCTGCAACGAGAGACACTTCCCAATGGCCGGTGACTTTTCCAGCAATGATGAAGAAGATCATTGACTTCTTTCAACGAGTTCCACCTGAGAGAAGCTCTTGCAAGGGTCCGCTGGGGTGTGCGGGTGTTCCGCCCGCGGACCTGTTGCGACTCCCCGGAGCAATCATACGCCGAAGGGGCTTAGGGGGAATTCTAGGGACGCAAGGGTAGATAGAGCGTGCACAGCACCCTAAACCCTAAACCCCGTGCAGGTTGTATAGTAGGCATACAAGGATCCCATGGTTTAGGGCCCATACTAGGGGTTCAACCTTAGGCTTCCGGTTTTTGGGGCTTGGGTGTACGGTTCAGAGTTCAGAGCTTTGGCGGGTTTTGTTAGCGAGCCCGAGGGTCTGGAGTTGAGGGTTTTTAAGAGGGTAGCGTTTAGGGTTTTTAAGAGGGTTTTTGGGGGTTTCATTGGGGTTCCAAGAGTTGTGGGGTTTAGGGTTTAGGGTTTCAATTGGGTTTTGGGGTCTCGGGTTTAGGGTTTCAAAGGGTTTTGGGGTCTCGGGTTTAGGGAAATTTCAAAGGGTTTTTCGGGTCTAGGGTTTAGGGTTGTTAAAAGGGTTCTGGGGTGTAGGGTTTCAAGTTTCAAAGGGTTTTTCGGGTCTAGGGTTTAGGGTTTTTAAAAGGGTTTTGGGGTTTGGGGTTTAGGGTTTAGGGTCTCAAAGCCCTCTAAGCCAAAAACCCTGAAACCTGGAGTTACTTTTCCGCACCCGCGCCCACACCGCATGGCCCCCGCAACAAAAAAGCCTGCGGGCCCAAAGTACCTTAAATCCTCAACCGTGCCCTTTAAGCCGAACGCTTAGAACCTTCTTTGGTGGAGCCCATAAATAACTTTAGAGCTTCGAATATGTTTTGTTGACTGCTTGAAACCCACAGGGCTACGCATGAGAGATCTCAGTAGCAAGGGCTCTGCCGAGTTGCCGGGTTCAGAGGTTTTGGTGCAAAGAGGGTTTAGGTTTAGGAGTTTCGGACCATACATCACAAGATCGATACCCCAATCCGGAATTCAAGGCCCTAAACTTGAATCAAGCTTCTCTGAGAGTGCTTCCTGGTTTGCTTGACCAAGAAGACGGAATAGTTTTGCGCAGCGAAAGCAGGAGCATGCAACTACTGTAGATATGTCGGCGCAAGCCTTGAGGACATCATCAAGACCGTTTTGAAGCTCCTTGTCGACTCTAAAGAAACCTTGAATACAAGCCTAAGGCCTAAACCCTACACCCCTAAACCCTAAACCCTAAACCCTTAAGACCCCTAAACCGAAAGACCCCCGACCTGAACCCTGCTAAGCCCTACACGCTAAAGCCCCGAAAGTGTCGCTGCTGGGAGGTCGGCGGCCACGACGGCCACAAGGCCCCTTCTTGACCGGTGGTAGGGCTTGTGGGCCCTAAACCCTGAACCCTAAACCCTAAACCCTAGGGCCCTTGGGTTCAGATGATCATTGCAGAGTGTAGGGTTATAGGCGATGTAGAGGTTGGGGTTTGGAGTTTAGGGTGCCGGCATGTACATTTGTCTGCTTTTTGACGTAATTACTGGGTGCATTTCCCTATGTCTAGGGTTTTCGGGCACGAGAACTGCAGCGAATTGCGAGTGCGGGATTTTGGGTTAAGTGTTTTTGAGTTGGTTTTTTAAGGTCCTATAGGCATTAGGAGTTTTGGACTCTGCTTCAGTTTCATCTCCGGGCTCAGGCTAGGTGCCTCCGAAAACTGAGGGCAAGGGCTACCTATTGCTGCGGACATTAGGAGACATGAGCCATCACCCTGCACCCCGAAGCCTCAAGTTTCAGAATTCAAGATGAGTCTTTCATCAAAGTAAGAGGCCCGATATAATCTAAGAGCCAAAGAAGTATTCTTTGAGTAGGGGGGCAGGGCTGAGACAGGAAGAGCATCGCTGTATCTGTGTGCATTAGAAGGGGCGTAGCTTCGAACCTTAACCCACACTCTAAACCGTTAATCCTAAACCGTGCCTGGGGTTTACGGATTTTCAGCTAAATGCTTTGATACTTGTCGGTGTCTTTTTGGCGGTTTGGAGTTCAGGTTTGTTTTGAACTTCAGCCATGTTGTAGTTGATCTTTTTCAAGGCCTTGAACTCAAAAGAGAGACACCCTGCAAAGCCATGAAAGACCGTAAACCCTTAAACCTCCAACCCCAAACCCCTAAATCCTCCAAATGCCTCAAGCCCCTTACATCCCAAGAATGCCTTAAGCCCCTTAAACCCCCCAAAAATGCCCGCAGCCGCGCGAAGCCCCTTCAATCCTAAAAATGCCTTAGACCCTAAATGGGAGTTTCCGAAAATAGGGGTACTTTATTGGGGGTCCCTAGAATATGGATCCTACTATCTAGGGTACTATATTAGGGTCCCCTATTTTCGGAAACCCCTAAATCCCAATGAAGGGAAAATCCGCTTACGTCCCAGGTGCTCGCATCCGCGGAGCGGTTTGATCCCACGAAGGCCCGGGAGCCCATCTTTAGGGTTTAGGATTTAGGGCTTGGGGTTTCGGGCTTTTGGGTTTAAAAGCTCTAAAGGGTTTGGGGTTTTAAGGGTTTAAAGGGTTTCGGCTTCAGGTTTTGGGGCTCAGAAGGTTGAGGCTGTAGGGTTAAGGCCATGCCTTTCAAGAACCATTAGACTTGGCTTTTTGTGTTGTTTAGCGGTTGATGTTGCTTTTTAGGGCGCTCTAAAGGGTTTGAGGGGCCGTAACAGCTAGAACAGGGTTCCTTTTTCCTTTGCAGTGTTCTACGGGGATGCCGATAAAGCTCACGAATATACATACCAGATTTTTTGCACAGAGGCCTTGATAATTAGAATAGAACTTATTCGAAAGGGCTGAGGCATCTGTTTCCGCGCCCCGAAACCCAAAGCCTCAAGGGCCCTAACTACCATGAAGGTGTCTAGGAGTTTAGGGTTCAGGTGTTTGGCTTTCTCTCAGGGTTCGGGCTGGGTCCACGATTTAGAGTTTAGAGTCCAGGGTTTTTGGCGGCATTTATGTTTCTTCCTGGAGGATGTACAGTTTTGGGCTTCAGGAGGGTTCGCAGTCTACTTGGTGGGTCATGGCGACGTGTAAGCAGAGCTACAAGGAATGTGGTTTTGGTTGGATGTGACATGCTTCCTCATAGCTTCCATGAACCCTGCGGTGTCTAGTGCTGAACAGTCAAATGCAACATAGAAGACTGCGGTGTGCACTGTTCTACGTAGCCAAAGGTCATAGTCATTGCTGACTATGTAGCACAAGAACTAGCCTAAACCACTACCTTAAGAACCCCAAAACCCTTTTTTGTAGGATTTATAGGGACCCTACAAAAAAGTAGGTTTTGGGTTCTCAAGGTAAACCCTAAACCCTAAAGCCCTTGGCAGGCTGCGGAGTCTGACTAGAGGATGCAGTCGTAAAGAGGATTTCAAGACAAACAGAGAACCCAATACCCCTGAATTAAGGACTATACCTTAATTTATAGGGGCCTTAATACTATGACTTAAGGTATATTCCTTAATTAAGGGGTAAAGACTAAACCTCTAAGCCCTGAACCCCTAGCGTCCACAGCCTGAGCTTCGGCGGCGCCATACCAGTCGGCACTGGTGGGGTTAAGGGCTCAGGGATTTGATGGTCAGGGGCTTATGAGGGATATCGGGTTCTAAGTTGCAGGGCTTTATGGGGGTTCGGAGTTTAATGTTTCGCTCTTGCAGGCCCTTGATACAAGTAGAGTGTAGAGGTCGGAACATCGCTGTGTGCGAGTGTCTCGTGGTTGTCATACAAGTATTAAGTATGATGATACTGCATCAGACCCCAAAGCCTTAATACAATATTGTTCAGGCTCCTAAAACCATGGAACTCATAAAGCAACCCTTATAGAACCCTCCCTAAGCCCTAAACCCCTCCACCCTAAACCCCTAAGCTTAAACCCTAAACCCTGAACCCCCAACCCCAAACCCCTAAACCCTAAACCTCCAAAATCCCTAAACCCCCAAACCCCCAAACCCCCTAAACCCCTTTAAGTCAAGTCTAAAAGCCGTTCCAGGGCTCTTGGAGTCGGCTGCCAGACATGCCGCCGGCGGCTTGGAGATTTCCTGCTTTGGGTCGGGGCTTAGGGTCCCTTGAAAGGTAGGATCTATAAGGGTCCCTTGAAAGGTAGGATCTATAAGGGTCCCTTTAAAGGTAGGATCTACAAGGGTTCCTTTAAAGGGATCTGTAAGGTAAGGGTTGGAGATTTTCTGTTTGGTTCTGCTAGTACGTTTGACGAAGCTGTTGGTGATGTTGCAGGTGAGGATGGTGGGGATGATAGGATGAATGTTGACATGCACAATACTATTATCAACCCAATATCCTCTACTTTATTATACACTACAGCCTTAATTCCACTTCTTGTTTTAGAAGAACAAAAATTGATAAGCAAATCGAATCTATTGTCCTGCCGCACCTGTTGTTGCCGAGCTTCTTCTTGGCGCTCCTGCCTACTCCTACTCCCCTCTTCCTGCTCCTCCTCCTCCTCCTCCCTGTGATCCTGCTCCTGCTCGTCCTCGTCCTCGTCCTCCTCTTCCTCCTAGCCTTGGCCCTAGTCCTACTCCTGCTCCCACGTCCTCCTGCTCCTCCTGGTACTGCTCGTCCTGCCACTCTTGCTGTACCTCTACGACTACGGCTATGCTACTGCTACCGCTCGTAACGTACACCAGGCATGATACATAGTGCCGCGGCGGCCTCATGCCAGTGCTATTTACGAAACCCTGAACCCCTAAACCCCCAAACCCGAAACCTGTACATAGAATGATGCCAGCTGCAGCTGCTTTGGCAGCGAGGCTGCAGGCATAGTGCCATGGCCCATGGAGCAGCCCACAAGGTGGCTGGAGTAGGCCGGAGGCCCTAAAGCCAGTTTGAAGCAAAAGAAACGAGGAACGCTCATGGCCCAAGCTCTGGGAATTCAAGTTTTCACAACGTCGCTTACTGGATGCGGTTTGTTGCTGATCGTCTGCTTTACCTTCTTCAGCTCTCGGTGTCGGCTTTCCGTTGTGGGGACACGGCTGTGTTCAACCAGGACTCCCCGATCCCGCTGCGCTGCAGTATCCATGCGAGGCGCGCAACCAGCACTGCATCCCTAAACCCTCGCAGCCTCAGGGGGTGGCATGAGAATGAAGCCGAGTCGATTAATATGAAGGTAAAGGAAAAGGCCATGATGGTGATGATGATGAGGAGGAGGAGGAGGACGAGGATTGATGGCGATGATGACGATGATGATGACAAGAGTGATGATGATGATGATGATGATGTTGATGATGATGCCGATGATGATGCTGGTGCTGGTGCTCGAAAAATCCTAGAGCCTTACATCCCAAACAGTGAAACTATGAACCTCCTCACTCCTTGGGGCAAAGGACCTCAGCAGACTGCGAAAAAGGTGATCCCCCAACATGCAACGAGATTTCAACAAAACATGCTCAGCCGTCAACCCCTAAACCTTGAACTGTAAACTAACCTTAAACCCTCAACCTTAAACCTACACAAAGCGGGTATCCGAGCAGGCTGCCTGCATGTCCTCGGTGGCCGCACATGTGACGGCCGGCCAAATGCTGCTCTGCCCACGGAGCGCTGCTGGGTTGCAAGAAGGGGATCTCTCAGGCGTTGATGGTAACTGGGAGGTGGCTCACAAAATAAGGAGTCCCAAGAAACGCCTAGAATAGCAGTGCCCTTTACTATACGGGCTCTTCAGGAAGGCCCCTATACTCCTTTCTTCGGGCCGCGTGGCACCCGAAGATAATTTCGGGTGCGATTCAATCTCGGACCCCTGAATTATCCTGAATTGTCGAACGTTACAGCGCCGGGTGTAATTTAAACTGCAAAACCTTAACCCGAGCGGCCTACACCATGAAATCCCAGGTGTTGAAACCCTGCAAGCCTGAGATCCTAAATTCCGGGGGGAAGCCCGGTTTGACCCAAGGTTTCGACCCGGCACGCGGCGTTTGGCAGGCCTCACAGGGTTTCGGCTAGGGGTTTAGGGTAGGGGTGTTGGGTTTTTCGGGGGTTTTAGGGCATAGGGTATAAGGTTTAGGGCTTGGAGGGCTCGGGACCGAAGAAGCAGTTCAACAAGAACTGCAACTTTCCAAGAGTTTGAAGGGCTTAGGGTTTAGGGGTCTTCTAAGACCTCAAAGATGTATCTACGAAACCCTAAACCCTGAAGCTGGGAACCCTAAACCCTAAACCCCTACGTCAAGCTTTCCCCCAACTCTGAATTCAGCTCTCTGCAACGGCAGGTTTGGGCTCCCAGGAAATACAAGCAGTTTCATTCCCATGTTTATGTTCAGGGTGACGAGCAGTCAGAGCAGTCCTTCGAGGAAAAGTAGGAGTGACCACAGACTCAATTAGAAGTAGCAGTAGCAGCAGTCGTCGTCGCCGCGGAGTCCTGCAGTGGATGGCAGTATGACTACTGGTAGCACTAGCAGTGTTGATGGCCAGCACAATTCAAGCTGACATCAGCACAGCACACCCTACATCCTCACCCTGACCCTAAACCAATCCTGATGTTTGGCCGTGAATTCAGTTGACTGTCCACAGTAAGGCGGGTTTCGAGGGAAGTTTTCAACACTCTGCCGTAATCCCTACTCCTCTTGTTGCTTACTTTGCCTGCTGCACAACCCCAAACCCTCAACTTCCCCCCGGGCACGGCCCTGAACCCTACTCTTGTGGCTGTTTACTCTTCACCCCTACACCAGATCATGTCTTAGGGCTCCTTTAGTTAAAAACTATAGCGTACCCCAAAAATCTCTATAGCCTTGCTGTCAGAAGCAGGTTTTGCCGGCTTCGCCTCTCGCACATCTCGGCTGCCGCTGCCCCAGAACCGTTGAAGGTGTTGGATTTGGGACTTTCCAAAAATAAGGGGTACCTTATTTTGGGGTCCTTATAATAAAGATCCTATTAGGGTACTATATTAGGGTCCCCTATTTTCGGAAACCCCCATTTAGGGCTGAGGGTTTAGAGTTTGCGGTCTAGGGTTCAGGGTTGAGGGTTGTCAAAGTTGTATCTTTTTGAAGGGAAGAGACATCGAACGGCTGCGGGTTGTGAGCATTACGTTTAGGCTTCATGCAGACCTAAGGATCGTTTCCTTGTGATCGCCAAGCATTCTACGATGTTGATTTGGGAAACCCAAAAATTAGGGTACCTTATTTCGGGGTCCTTATAATAGGGGTCCTACTATTTAGAGTACTATATTAGGGTCCCCTATTTTCGGAAACTCCCACTTGGGGTTGGATTAGTGGGAAAGAACAACAGCACGACCTGACTAGCCGACACGAAGCACAGTGTGCCAGCAGTGCCCAAGCCAATCTAAATCAGGTCCATGGTGCTCATTTCACTCAAGTCGCAGAGGGCCCTTGTTACAAACCTTACACACTAAGCCCTAAACCTAGAAACCGTGAATCCAGATGATACCCGAAACTCTCTGTATAAGTCTTGGCTACGGCAAGGGGGGCCTCACATCCTCTGCTATTTGTGGGCCCTAGTAGCATTCATCAGTTTGAAGGTAAGCCTTCGTTACATGAGAGCGATCCTGCCATGCAAAATCCCAAAAGCCTTGAGTTCATCAGTCATAAACAGAACTTCCGCCTGAACCGACATCAGAGATCCTTCATGGGTTTCCATACGTCAAGGAATTTTGCTTGAAGGGCTTGGCATTCTGCAACACTGCCTTGTTGGCGTCGTGGGTCGTGGGATGCAAAAGGAGGACCTCGTCCTACTTAGCCGTACGGCACCCTAAAGCCTAAACTTGCTTTGCCGTCCCTGCGACCATAAACCCAAAACCCAAAGCCATAGCCCTGAAGCCCTATGCCCGAAGCCCTAGGCCCCTGCGACCATAAACACCAAAAAAAAACAATACCCCTTAGTTAAGGAATAGACCTTAAAGATAGGTGGTATCTGGATTGTGTGTTTAATCAGGTTTGGGTCTTTCTGTAGGTTTTGGGATTGAGGGGTCCGAAGTCTGAGGTTAAGGGTGACGGAGGGGTGTAGGATTTAAGGCGGGCTAGAGGTTAAGGGCGTTTTTCCTTGCAGACTTAGGTAGATTCGCGGATGTCTGAAAGATTCCTAGTCCCTATACCCTAAACCCTAACCCTAAACCCAAAACTGCGTTGTCACAGGCGCTGCTGCTGAAGTATCCGGATCCATCTACGCCGTAGGCGCTCAGAGGGGAAAGTCCGGATGCCATTCATGTTTCACTGGAGCTTCAGAGGGTTGTCCTATGGACTTACGTAACGCGGCCCCTATGCTTGCCACTTTACAGTTCAGGGTTTGAGGCTTAGGGTTTAGACTCAGAAGACCGGCTTCGGAATTGAAACGCGAAGCTTTGCAACAAAGCGCGTCAGGATTGAACATGGATACCGGTTCTGGCTTTTCTGCTTGGGTTTACAGAGTATGGCTTAAGTTTAAGCTTAAGCTGGAAGACCGGAGCGGGATCGCTAGCCGTGCACCCAAAGTCTCAACATCTACGCTCTAACCTGCGAAGCTTCCCAGAATCTAATCACCACCACAAAACTCCGAAGCATACCCTGTAGAAAGACAACGAGGCTCTTCGGTGCACACAATGCTTGTCTGCACTCCCTAAGAATCACGGCGATCTGCCTGGCTTTACGGTTTAGGGTTTAGGGATTAGCGGTCAAGCGACCATACAACCTAAGCCTTGAACCCTGAAGGGCCTACAGCAAACTCGCTGCACCCAAACGACCAGCACAATAATAATCTCCAAGCCCTGAGCAAGCCGCAATCTAAAGCCTCATTAGATCCTGATAGCCTCACCCAAGAAGGCCTCAATACATTACCCGCCAGATCGAGCAGTTTCAAGCAAAACAGCATGGACATCGGAAAGATTCGACTCTGCAGCACAATGCATGGAAGGTCGAACAAAGCTATATCACATTACATATAAGTATATATACATGTATACATAGATATATATATATATATATACCCATACACCTGCAATCCAAGAGCCTTTCTCATGACATGCGTATGAGCACTGCAAGTCTGGCAAAGTCCGGTGGCTTGTCATGCTTGACAGCACGCGGCCTGGAAGATCCCATGCCATTTCCTGAGAGCACCGAGGAAGCGGTTGTCAAGATTTGTAAGCGCCAGAGAAGCCAAGGCAAAAGAAACGCAACACCCTATCGGACCCTCAGAACCTGTCATTTTGGAGCAAGCGAGACCTGCCCGTATAGCAACCCGAATAAGACCCGCGTAATGACCCTTTCACGAACCCTTAGTCTAAAAGCAAAGGGTCCAGTTCGAATCGGGCAGGCGTCAGTGCCGATCGCAGCATGATCGTTGGCTTCTTACCGACCTGGTTTAGGGCTTGTTAGGGCTCCGGGTATTAAGGCTGTTTGAGGTTTTGGGGTGTTTAAGGGTTTAGGACCGGTTTTGCTTATCAGGTTATGTCTTGGGGCTCAGGGTGTTGAAGGTTTGTTTTTGGTTTTGAGGGTTCGACGTGCGTTTAGGCTTTACGCTGTTTGCAATGGTTAGGGCTGTAAAGGGTTCAGGGTGCTTCTTTTTGTTTGGATTGGCCTCGTCTTGTTCATGGCTGTTGTAGTAGGATTTGGATTGTTTATGCGTTGAGGGTTAGGCCTTTGAGGGGTCAAATTCTGAGATCAGGTCAGAGTTAAGGGCTGGGTCCGGGAGTTTAGAGTCTCAGGCCTTACACTTGGGAGTTAGACTATAGTCGGCCTAATTATAGGGTTTAGGAGTTTCGGGTGTAAGGCTTTGGGTTTAGATCAGGGCGTAGCTTGTTCTCAATCTGTAGGAGACGCAGCGATAGACAAGACAACTCAAAGGCTATCTATGCTGGTATCAAGGTAGTAGAATTCAAGGTTCAGGGCTGTAGGATAGGTCTATTGCAGTCTGGCATGCAGCTCCAGCATATCCGGATACTGTACCACAGGCAATCGTTGAGGCTGGCCGAATTGTGGATGAACACGGTGATCGCATGCCGACTATCGAAGCGGAGCCATTTCATGCCAGCACTGGGAGGATTTTGTCCTCCCAACCGGCAGCCGTCGACTGCCCCACCTTAGCTTTGCCAGAGTCCCTTGTGTAGGGGCCTCTCTTGGGATGCCCCAGCTTGGCTTTGCCAGTTGTTTAGCTTGAAGACCCCACTTATGTCCTGCTGCATTCCGGGGCCTCAGTTCACATGATCTCCGAAGCGATGCTTGACGTTTGTGCTGTGTTGGTAGAGGACGCCAGCAACGTTGAGCCGCTTGCTGTATCTGTGGCCAACGAGCAGATTCTGCAAGTGCATCGCTTGGTACGATAGAGATGCTGATGGACGACGGGGCTGGCAAGAGGCAGACGAGATAGTTCACGAAAACCGGGCACCATGTCCTCTATGGATTCGTCCTGCTGACGGTATTGAAGTTCGTGGCCATCTAGGCGGAGATGCGCATCGTACGCGCCGGTACCTGTTCCTCACGGGGGACATTGCTCAAAGGTATGACCACCGCCCGTCCATGGGTAAAGGCTGTGCTGGTTGCGTGTTTCACATGAGGCGCGCTGAGGGAGAAGGTCACCCGAAATCCCAGGCCGTGAAGCTCCAACATCGGCTCCCGGATGCAATTTTTCAAGCAAACCATATACTACAGGCTCTTCTGATTCATCTTGCGTTCTCTAACTAAGTCTGGGTTTACAAGCTCTCTTATTCAAGGGTTTATGGAAGGAGCCTCCAAGGTTAAAGGAACCCGAAAAAAAACCGAGCCTAAACGCAGCCGAGGAACCCTACTCTGCAAACCCTTAACCCTGAAGCCCTGTAAGCCCTAAACTTCCAAGCCCCAAACCCCGAAACCCTTCAACCTTTACCGTTGCCTGAGGGGGTGCATGAGGCCAGCGAGAAACCCCCTGGACGAGAGCAGCTCGCGACACCCATACACCACAAAGAATCCGGCGCACGTCCCATGTGAAACAGCCACACAACCTTGGTGTGACAAAGATCATGTCCACGGCATCTGTAGCAGAAAGTGGACCGCATTCTCACTCGTAACTAGGCCTTCCAGCGTTTCGATCCATGTCGTGCCTTGCATGAACGGACGCTCCGCAAGGCCAGGACATTGACCGGACAAGTTCAGCACTTTCGAATAATCGACCTGTTTCAGATCCACACACGGAAGAAGAGGGAAGCCCACCACCTTAGGAAGCTGCATGAGACTCGCCCGAAAACCTGTGACCAGCATGCGCAAGTTGACATGTTGAAGCTGACCATGTGCCTCCGGGAGGGTCCAATATTGCCCAGGTGAGAAGACATTCTCAACGATAGGCATGGAAGATGTCCAGACACAAAAGTGCAGCATGAGCTCAACATATGTAATTTGCCAGTGATCAGCCGGGGGCACGGGTTGCACCGGCCAAATCAATGTTTGGAGCCATAGCAAAAGTTTCTGGCCATATCCCAATCCAAACTTCCACGAAGACCAATTCTCCTCCCATGTGGCCGGGAACGGCAAGTACCTGAGAGTAGGTGCCTGTCGTTGCCGGACACGCTCCAGAAAACCATCCAAAGCCTCGTCGGGAGTGGCAACTGTCGCCGTCAGGCGTGCAGCTGACGACCTACGTGTTTGGACTTCCAGAACCCCCAAGTCCAGGAGAGCACGGCAGAACTTCGTCAAGCATAGCCGGTGAGATATCAGCCCTCGCTGCCTTGGCGGCCTCATCTGCAGCAGTATTGCCCGCTGCCAACCATTGGTCCCAGGGTGGCAAACAAGCCAGCTCAGCTTGCGTCCGGTGCGCCTTAATCTTTTGCAGTCGAAACTCACGGGGCCGAGGACAGTCACGGAGGAGATCCGCATTGGCACAATTGCACACCGCAGACCAACCATACAGTCACGGAGGAGATCCGCATTGGCACAAGTGCACACCGCAGACCAACCATACGATACCCATTTTGTCCACAGATCTATTGCAGGTTGACAGTCACTGTAGACCGTAGCGGCAACGTGCGGCGTAAGGGACAGCCAGCGACTAGTCCAGACAATAGCAGTGAGCTCAGCTCTGGGCACCGTCTGAAGGCCAGGCGTACAACCTTGACCTATAACCGAAAAGGCTTGCAAAAGTTGATCGGGGGCAACATCAGCACTGGTAAGGGCCGGAGCCGAAGCTGGGCACTTGCCCACAACAGCCGCCCATGCCGTGAGGCGAGCACCCGGGCAAGCAGTATGCAAAGCACTAGCATCCGTGAAGATAGAAACCTGAGAACCCTGAAAAGGCGCTGCAAGCGGCGGAAGCCTCAGTTGCGCCACCAGAAGCTGGAGAACAGAGGCCTCAAAAGGCCAAGAGACATACGGCAGATGCACCCAGTGGCCGTGGCCGGCTTGCACTTGCTCAAGACACTGAAGGTGGGGCTTACGCTGGGCAGCTAAAACCGAACAAGAGAAAATCCTATGGGCCTTAGTATCAAGCTCGCCGCACAAAGGGCAGGAATCGCAGTCCATACGTGACCACGTCTGCTTTTCTGCCCCTGACATGAAAGCCCCGCAAAAATGGCGGTAAAGAAATTTATTTTCCCAAGGTCGAAACTGCTCAAGTACCTGTTGTGTCAAGTGCACGTGCGGTGGCGGCGCCCGTTCAAGGCCATTGCGCGTTACAAGCTGGTCCTGCACTGTATCAGCCCATGCAAGCTGTATCGCAGCACGAATTTGCTTCATGGAATTGCAATGTATGTCAAAAGAGCAATGCAAGGGGCCCTTAAAATAGCCCGAGGGGGAAACCGTCCAGCCATTTCGCAGCAGCAGGGCTTGGAGAGCTCCAGCTGGTCCACAGATCTGACGCGGGCGCAAGGGCTCCCCCAAAAGACGCTGCCAGATTAGCTCAGCGGCCTCCGGGGCACGGTGGAAAGCCCTCTTGAGCTGGCTGACATGGTGACACAAGAGATACACCTCAGGATCTTGAACCGAGGGGAGTAAGCTCAAGGCCGCATGGGGCGACATGGTATGGTGAGGCCCGACCACGGCTCTAGCTGCAGAGCTGCGAACATGCCCAATGCTCGTCAATGAGGGCAGAAGTCCTTCAGTGCCAAAGAAGAGAAAAGGCCAAATCCCACACTGGACTACTCTGGCACGGACCGTGGCGGCCTGAGGATCTGAGGCCAACTTTTGCAAACGCAGCTGGGCATCCAAGAGACGGTCCTGGAAAGGCTTGACAGAGCCTCGCTTGTTGAACTGATAATAGGAGCCCAACTCTTTGACATGTTGCACCAAGTGCAGTCCGTGCGACGGCGGCAAGAAATCAACCCCGATAGTAAGCCACCATTTTTTGGACAGCTGTGATGTTGCCCATTGGTAAGTCTTTTGCCAATCGATTTCCAGTGCAAGCGAACTGACAAAATCCTGCAACACCAAAAGGGCCGGTGCATGATTGTCCGGGGCATCGGAAGTCCAGGAAAGATTGTCCACGTAGGCCTTCGGCTCCACAAGGCCCTGCAGCAAAGACACGAACAGCCAACAGACCGCAATCATTCCCAAAACCGAGACGGGGTCACCCTCGGGGGCGCCAGTGCGCGAGCCTAAAGGAGGGCCGAGGCTACCACCTATCTGGAAGGCCCGCTGGACACGTGCCAATGATTTGCACCAGCAGTCAACCACATCTTGCGGTACACCAAGGCGGCCCATGAGGTCGGCAAGGGGTGCACGAGGGAGGAAGTTGAAAGCCTTTTTGAGGTCAAGGCAAAATCCCGACAGGTCTGCCTCAGTGAGCAGGCTATCCTCGACCAGAGCTTGGACCGAGTATGACAAGTCAAGCGCCGAGCGGCCTTTTAGACAGCCTACTATTGACGAGGGGAGCCGAAGGCTCCAGGTAGCGAGCACCTGGGTGCAGAGGACGCGAGCCCAAAGCCTGTAAAGGCAACTGAGTATTGTGATAGGCCTCGCCTGTGACGCACTGTCCGGCGTGAGGACCTTGCTGAGAACAGCCACTCTGGCACGCATGATGTCTTCAGGAAAGCCCTGGGACAAGTAACCGGACATGATGGCCGCGAGGTCTGCAAGAGCAGCTCGAGGGAGCATGCGGAGATCTTTATTGTGCCAGCCACACGCACCCGTAGCTTTGGCCGGTGAAAGCTTGCGAGCCACGTGGACCCAAGCCTCGGTATCAAGCAAGTCCACCTGAAGCTCAGGGCAGGGGGATTGGAGCATATGCACCAAGGATTGGTATTGAGGCCACTCTTCAATGTCCTGCGAAGCCGATAGGCTATCTCGATTCCAAATAGGGCTCCAGAACTCCATGAGAGAGCCCACGACGCCTTTCCACGAGGTATCGTGGCGGCTGCGGCAGAGGAGCCCTTGGTTTG